TAAACTGGTAGTCACTATACACACACCATCGGAGAAACTACAGCGGGACATCATTGCAAAGGATATGGATTTAAAGACAGTTATAGACAGCGCCCGCGCACTAGAACTCACACAACGGGAAGTCCGATTCATGAAAAACACATCAATGGACTCGGCGGAACCAGAGATCAACAGTTTGTCAGAACAACACTCTCAAGCAAAAGTTGACACCACAACAGCTAGACGAACTGAAGTTACTAAGGAAGCAACATCACGGAACAAATCGACAATTGAAGTATGCAAATACTGTGGCCAACAAACACCACATAAAGGAAAGTGCAAAGCCCGGGGAGCAACATGCAATAGTTGCAAGAAGAAAGGGCACTTCGCAGTGGTTTGTCAATCTAGATCATTTAAAAAAGTCAAGTCAGTAGAGCAACACCACAGTGAAAGCAGTGACGAAGACAACACACAAGCCTCCTACAAGTTTAACAAGGTAACATGGAAGCTAGATCAAGTTACAACGAACACGACACCACCACAGCAACCAGAGTACAACACCAAAGTCACCATAAGGGTACAAAACCAGCGACTTAGAGCCCAAGTGGACTCTGGAGCAGAAGTGAACATCATGAGTTACACCACATATGAAAACCTCACCAGAAAACCACCATTGCGAAAATCGAGTGCAAAATTGAAACCGTATCGATCTAAACCGCTGCCAGTTAAAGGATATTTCGGAACAACGATTCGAGCAAATAACCAGGAAGCAAACACCACTTTCTATGTGACAGAGAAGTCAACGGCCATGCCTATCCTCGGAAAATACACCGCTTTTGATCTGAACATTCTCAAGATAACCGTCTAGGAATTGCTCCAGGAACAGGAACAACCAACTAAGGCAACTGTAATAAAAACAGCTCAAAATGGTGGAAGAATATCAGTCAATTAACGGGCAGAAACAAATCTTCAAAGTTTTTTCATAAGTGACCCTGAAAGTCAAGCTACTGGTTTAAATGATCCCAATTGTAAAATCCTGAAGATATTTGCGTAGGCTTTTGCAATACCACTCACGCACATCTTTAATGAATCCTTCAAATCAAAGTGTTTCCCAATCACCTGGAAAGAATTTGGGGTTATACCAATCCCAAAGTGTGTAGCTTGTACTAGCGCTGAAAAATTACGCCCCATTGCACTAACAAGTGTAATTTCTAAGCTTCAAGAATCATATGTAGTTAAATGGATAAACGAGGATGTTGAAGGAAAAATTTCGAAAGCACAGTATGGAGGACAGCCTGGATCGTCTGCCGTTCTTGCCCTAATATACTTGGTCCATAAGTGGCAGAAGGCTCTGGATGCCCCTGGCTTCGTAATTAGGCTAATATTTCTAGACTTCCGCAAAGCTTATGATCTTATTGATCATAATATATTGCTTGAAAATTGTTCTAAGATTGGCATTCGACCAGCACTGATATCATGGCTTGCATCGTATTTGAGTGGTAGAAGTCAAGTTACGAAATTTGGAAACGAGTTATCTGAAAGATATACTATACATGGAGGTGTACCTCAAGGTAGCAAAATAGGACCTGTTGCATTTATTGTGCACTTAAATGGACTTCCCTCAGTATTGAAACAATCAGAAGTATCTGGTGAAGATTTTGAAGGTAATGAGGACGACGATGATGTATCAATATTTATGGACGATACCACAATCTCTGAAATCATAGATATAAAAAATCACACGTCAGGTAATGTCATTGGCAACGCTACAAGGAACATGAGCCAAGTTGCGAAGTTCACTAAGGAACAAAAAATGGAATTAAACTTGAAAAAGTGTAGAGAAATGCTCATCGATTTAAGAAGGAATAAAACTGTCATACCACCGGTGAAAATTGATAACCACACGATTGAAAGGGTTAGTACGTATAAATTATTGGGTCTTTGGATTGATGATGATATGAAGTGGAAGACAAATACAGAGAAGATAGTAAAAAAGGCTGCTAAACGACTATTCCTTCTTAAAGTATTAAAATCATATGGTGCAATTCCTGATGAATTAAAAAAATTTTACATCACAGTCATCAGACCAGTCCTGGAATATGGAGCTCAGGTATGGCATGGAGGGATTACTAAGGAACAGTGTAGAGATATTGAACGGATTCAAAAACGAGCATTGAGGATAATTTACAAGAATGATGATTATGATGAGAATCTTCATATTGCAGAAATAGAAAGTTTGGAGAGTCGGAGAGACCGCATGTGCATAGACCTAATTAAGGATATGTCGAATGTAGACCACAAACTGCATAAGTTACTTCCAAAGAGAATTGGAGAAATTAGAAAGAGGGAAACAAGACTAAATAGTCAAAAGTACTATAATTATAAGGCAAATACAGAACGATTTAAGAACAGCCCAATTACTTATGCAATCTTAAAGTATAATGAATTTTTATCTTAGGTGTAGTAATCTTCTTATAGTATATAGCTTTAATGTAGTCTTTTATTGTTATCATAGTTTAAATATAGACTTGTTATTGTAATGCACATAACAATTTAGCTGGTAGTAGCTACTAGAACTGTGTATTTTACCCAATAATAATAATAATAATAATAATAATAACAATAAACACAGCCATCAAACGCACAAGACATGTCATACCTACCTTAGAGGAACTAAGATACAAGTTAAACGAGGCCAAGCAATTCACCAAACTGGATATGAAACAAGGATACATGCAACTAGAGTTGAATCCAAATTCACGATATATAACAACATTTTACACCCATCGTGGACTCCGACGTTTCAAACGATTAAACTTTGGGACAAACTCGGCAGCAGAAATCTTCCATGAAGAGATATCACAACTGATGGTCGACATTCCCAATGTTGACAACCTGTATGACGACATCATCGTATACGGTAAGACACAGCAGCAGCACGACACAGCGCTCGCACAAGTTCTTCAAAGATTTGAAGATTGTGGACTAACGCTAGGATTGCCGAAATGCAAGTTTGATCAACCGGAAATCGAATTCTTTGGCATGAAATTCTCAGCAAAGGGCATGTCACCAACAGATGAAAAAGTCAAGGTTCTCATTGAGGCACCGCCACCAACTACAGTGGGAGAAGTGAGATCTTTCCTCGGGATCGCAAATTACAGTGCAAGCTTCATACAGCATTATTCAGAAAATACAGCACCATTGCGAGAGATGACGAAGAAGAACGCCCGGTTCGAATGGACAGATAAGTGCCAGGAAGCTTTCGATACTCTAAAGAAAGCAATGGTCAGCCCCCAAGTCATGGCCTGCTATGATCCGACCCGATCAACGCAACTTATCCTAGACGCATCCAAATACGGCCTAGCGAGCATGCTAACCCAATTCGACACGGAGACGGGCAGACACAAAGTGGTGCGATACGACAGTCGTTCTACCACAAAGCAAGAATCGCGCTATGCACAAATCGAGCTAGAAAGTGCAGCCGTCGAATTTGCAATCAAAAGAAACCACATGTACCTCTACGGACTTCCCCACTTTATAGTCATAACTGACCACAAACCACTGCTGCCACTCTACAACAGATACCGCGCTGAGATGCCTCCAAGAATACACTGACACAAGCTTAACCTACAAGGCTACAACTTCAAACTAAGGCATGAACCAGGAAAGGATAACCCCACCGACTACATGTCCAGACACCCACCCCAAAGTCCAATGACATACCAGCAAACGGAACATCAAAAAGCAAAATTAGTTGATGCACACGTGAATGCGAGTTATCCGTAGCCCAGGGAATAATATTGCAAGGCAGGAAGCTGGTGGTGCCTCAGAGCATATAGAGCCACACCCCATCCAATGACACAACAGTCACCTGCACCACTAGTGTTCAATGGCAGAAGGTACAAAACAAGACTGCCCACAACAACCAACAAAACCATACTAGTCTATGACAAGAAGGTGAGACGGAATGACAAAATCAGCAAAGAAAGGATGAAAAAAAGGGCGGACAGCAAGCAACACGTCCGAACGAGTGAGATTAAGGTGGGCGACAAGGTACTTTGTCGACAGCAAAGAGCAAACAAGCACACGCCAGCTTACAGCAACGAAATATTGAGAGTGATTAAAAGAAAAGGAAGTATGGTGGTAGCAAAAGGGGAAACAAAGATTATAACCAGACATGTTACATTTTTCAAGAGGCTACCGAATGACCTAGACACAGACACCCCAACGTCCACACCTACACCAGATCAAACAGAACCAGCTGGGATGGAAGAGATGACACCACCACCTACTCCACCCGCACCAGAACAAGAAGAGAACGAAGAGCTGCAGCAAAGAAATGATCAACCAATAGCAGAGGACCCAGAGGGAAGAGCAAGAGCAGCACACCAAGCAAATGAGGGTGATCGACCGTCGAGAGAAAAGAGACCACCAGCCCGCTTTAGGGATGAAAACTTTGAATATCATAGCGGAAGCAAAGACTTCACAATATAATACATAAGGAACTCTAAATAGTAATAGAAAAAGAGATTGATATGGTTGAGTTTTAAAAATAGTTTACGTTACGTTGTTGACTCTAGAGGAAAGGAGGAATGTAGCATCTGGTTGAGGCCCTATGGGTCGTACGTAATGTAAATAGATTATACCGTATCGGCGGGAAATGAACAACAATGGCCGAGCTCTAATCTAGACAGTTCATACATGTATGTACATTTTCACTCCCAAGTAATAACAGGCAGATTTAGAATTTGTACTAAATAATTATTTTCCGGACCATGCAGAATTATAATACTCCAGTGAATAATTTTAATACTTCTGTTAAGGATTCGTACTACTCGACGGAATGGAGCAGCAGTTTTAAAACTATAGAAGAAGCACCTGCAGGTGAAGATCTTCTATTTATTAATTTCCAGTTATACTTTTATTTCATTGTTCTCTGCACCGCAGATTAACGTGCGAGCCAGATAAAGATTCTTCAATTATTTTTGTAGTTTCTTTGAAAAGTAACAATTCTAAACAATCCGACGAAGACAAAACGCGCATGGGTCTTCTTATACCGCTGATTATTCTGGCTTTATATTTTCTGGTTTCACTTGGTGTTATTGTGTACCAACGTCGTCTTCTTCAAAATAAAGATGTGAATCATGGATATGGAACCTCAAAACAGACAAACGAAATAAAAGAGTTTGGTAAGTTTAAAATTCACGAAGTGGTAAACTAAGTTGCCATTTGCTTGGGTTACTTCAGCATAATGATTAAGTAAGTTTAGAGATTAAGAAAAAAATATTTGTTTGTTACCATGCAGGGAAATATAAGTTAAGGAAAGTTTGGTAAAGAAAAGTTTGAAAAATTCACTTGTTGTCGTTACATTCGTAGCTACTTTTTTACACTTTCCTACACTCGTGCATCAATATATAGGCAATGGAAAAGTAATAGGGGGTTATAGATGGAGTATAAACGTGTAAAACTTAAAAAAAACTTCTTGTATAAGTTATTTCTAAATTCTCATGTAACTGCATAGATTTTATTTTAAAAGATCCGAGAACAAACAAAGGAGCAAAATATGATCACAGAACTCAAAATGATGAGACTGTTTACGAGACTCCAGATGATGTTATTGAAGAAATTGAGCGAAATGAGGGTGCACGTGGAACTGAAAAAGGACAAGAATCATCGAACTACATGTCGTTACAAGATAAAAAAGAACCAGCAAACGTTTATCAGGCATTGCAACCCCCCGTCACCAATGATAATCAACGTCATACTAAGGGGGGTGGTCAGTCAGTGGAATATCAAAATCCTGCATTCAGTGCAGATTTCAGTGGTGAATAGTCATTCGTGAGAAAAATTCTACAAGTATTATAATATACACATAGTCATACATGCATTGGCATTGTTCCTTAACGCCAATACACAAGAATAACTCAAGACACAAGTATAATCTCTAATATAATATAAGTCTGCTTCGAATGCAATTCGTATTTTCATTCACCAAAACATGAACAACAACGAATCCAGGAAAACGCGTGAAAGCGCCGGAAGTGAGTCTAACATGCAATACTAATTATCTACTTCATGTAACATGCCACAAAGGTGTGGCGTGGTTTCTTTCTTTTATCTTCTTTATGCTAATGTTAATAATGTGAATATAACTAGAACAGTAACGTTAACAATGTTCATACCCAAAGTATGTGGGAGGGTTTCTTTTACGGGAGGGTCTCATGGGCAAACTCGGTGGACTTGCTTGCAAAACGGCGGGGACCCCTGGTGGACTGGGAGGTACGGGTTCGGCAGGACCTGTGTCTTCATCATCGCTATCATCGGACTCTGTGAAACGTTTGGGAGGAGGCTGGTCGACCCCATCAGACACACGGAAACATTCATCGATTCGAACCTTATACGAGGCTGCGCGCAGCTGTGTGTCGGTGCATTTTTGAACAAAACACCAGGGGAGCTTGATTGATACAACAATATATCGGTTGCGAGCTTTGGTTTTGTCTCTGTCGGTGGACAGGTAAACGAGATCGCCAACTTGTATGCTTTGTGACTTGCGACGTGTGTGGGCATTTCTTGAACCTTTGGACTGTTCACTATAGGGATGGTTCTTAATACGATCGTGGTGTTGCTTCGCGATAACCTCCGTGTCTTTAATTGGAATTTGAGCATTCGAGAACTGATCTCTGTGAGTCCAGAGCTCATGTGCAGATACACCGTTCCGGCGGAGACGGGAATTTAGTCTGGTAATCACAAGGGCAAGCTCAACTGGGGTGACTGGGCTTCCGTCTGGGTTTCTGCGACGTAGTTCTTCTTCAAGTTCCGCAATAGCTTTTTCGGCGACGGGGTTTTTGTTAACATTTTTAATTCTGCCAATCTCTAACGTGACACCTATTTGTTTCAGAGTCAAGTCATTCTGTAATCCGATAAAACCGGGAGCGGGATCAACCCGGACAGTAGCGGGTGGTCCGTCAGGTGAACGGAGAGCAGCAACTAAGGTGGATAAACTGTCCCGAAGTGTTGTGCTCTTCTCATTGGGAATGATGGTGGCTGACGTAAACGACGTTGTAGTTTCCCGTAGTACAAGAATATTTTGTCTGCTTCTGCGCAGCACATCTGCCGCAAATGAAACTCCAACCACGCTGGGTGGGTCACTGGTGCTGTGTTGTAAAAGTGGTTGTGGGAGATGTCGGAGTGAGGCGCAAGTGTGACATGTATTGGAGATGCGTTCGATAGCTTTTGTCAAATCGAGAGCATAGAAGTGTCGCTTCATGGCAAGACTAAGTTGGTGGGGAGTAGGATGGTCGAGTCGCAGATGGAGAGCAGTTACGAGTCCGTGAAGGGCACTTCTCGGAACAATGATTAATACAGTGCTTGGGGATAAGGGATCTGTGTGGGGTACAACGAGGAGGCCGTCTTTGGCGATGGAAGCAACGTTTAAATACTTCTTGACATGTTTGTAGTCTTCTTTGAGGGACGTGTTCCTTGCTTTAAGTGGGCATGTGTCCGACGAAGATCAGGACACACGGCTTGAATTGTGTTCCAGGCAGATCTGGTAGTGAAAAGAAGATTGGACAAGTCCCGTATGTCTTGAACCGAGGTGGAGCGAATGACAGAATCTTCAGTAACAGCGATGAAGGTACAAACTTGACAGCGCGGCTCAGTGCACTCGGCAGCATTGCGGCTGGAGAAATCGGAGGGGATGTTGGCCGATCCTGCAAGGTGTTGAACAAAGACTCCATATCGACTGACAATAGAGAGAAAAGATGTTACACGGGGGCTTGCAGAAAACTCTCCACGGCATAATTTCTCGATCGCCTGTACACATGGTTTGCTGTCCGTTAATAAACAGGTTTGCTGGGTCGACTGGATTATATAGGGACTGAAATGTTTGATGGCAGTGGCGATGCAGAGTGCCTCTACTTCACATGGCAACCAGGTAACCTGGTGCTTTCGAAGCTTAGCACTGAAGAAACCTGCAAGGTGGATCTTGTTGTCACGGTTGATGTACAAGGTGGCACCCATACCGTATTTACTGACGGATCCATCTGTGACAATCCACAGCTGGTCTGATGGCCGAGGCAGAGTGATCGACTTGTGTTCAGCAAGAGACTTTTGGGCCAGATGGAACTGCTCCAACAATGTGTCTGTCCATTTTATCTTGGTGCAGGATTCCTGACCTGCACTGACCTGTTCCAGTGGTGCGAGAAGTTGAGAACACCTTGGTAGCACACGACTGAGGGCTTTATAGGCTCCAAGAAAGGATCGAAAGCTGCGCACTGTCTCTGGTGGGGGGCAGGAAGATAATGTAGCAATACGATGTGGGCTTGCTGTTAAGGAACCTTGGGTCCATATCCATCCAAGAACAGTAGTGGAGCGAGGACAAATTATGGTTTTAGATGGAGAAAGGTGTAGGTTACACTTCGCAAGGGAATCCAGGATACGTTGCCAGTTCTGAAGAAGTTCCTCGGGTGTGTCTGCTCCACAATACAGGTCATCAGCCAATTTTGTGGCTATCCCGTCCTGTAGACAATCACCAAGGACTCGGCACATCAGCTCTTCTAAGGTAGTCTCTGAGCCAGGCATGCCCATGGCACAGCGGGTGTATGCTCGGATGCCTCGGAATGGTGTGGCTACCCCACAGTACTTGATCGATTCTTTTGCTAATGGGATCTGGTAAAATGCGCTAGTTAAATCAGTGACGATTAGGTACTTCCATTGAGCAATAGTGCGTAAGGTGGTATCGACATCTGGCATGAGCGATGGTTGAGGCTTGCTGTACCTGGCAACATCAGCAAAGGCTGTGACCAACCGATGACCTCCAGAAGGCTTAGCGACCAAGAACGATGGATTGAGGTATTCTATTGTGACGCCAATGTCCTCTGGGCGTTGGAATACTCCTTGGCGTTCAAGCTCATCAAATTTATCTTGGAGTTCAAGAAGCTTGTTTCGAGAGTATTGGGGTAATCGACCCTTGCGTTGAGGGGGTTGGACTGGACCCATGTTGACAGTAGCTTGGAAAGGGCCAACAGCTCCATTGTATCCGGTGAGGGCGGGGTCGAATACGGTATCATACTTCTGTAGGGCTTTTTTGAACTCGGTACGAATGTGGACAGGTAAAATATTGTCAGGATCCAATTGAACAGTGGAAGAGTGGGCAGCTAAAGTAGGTGTTGTGACAACATTGGAGGGAACTGACTGTGTGGTAGTGTCTCTGGTGTTTGGGTGTGAAGTTCCTGGCAGAAATGCTCATTCCGAGCAATTGTTGTGGCTTGTTGGTGGCTCAGGATACGCACCTGACCAGCTACAGCTTGGACAATGTGTGGAGGGGGCCAGTCACGACACCTCTTGGAACAATCGGGACGAGGTTCGATTGCAAGGGTGGCATCAGGTTGGATTCAGTTGGTAAGTCTACCTCTAGGTAGTCTCCTGGCCAAACAACTGTTAATGTTGGTGGGGCACGTAAAACTTGGGCTTGCGTCCTCCTGATGTGATTTGGGGAGGCCTCCGGTGCTTCATCACCGTAGTAAGAAACATGAGCTCCCTGAATGGATATTTGCTGTTTGGCAGGTCGAACAGAAATGTCATTGACTGACATGAATGGTGTTCCTGCCATGTCAACGTCAGTTCGTCTACTACAGAGCATCAAGCAGGAGGTTTACATGGTTGTGGTGTAAGGTAAGGTGGGCCTCTCCAATGACTGTTAGGGGGGTAATGCCATCGGCCTGTAGGGCAGACTGTCTTGTCTTGGATATTGTTGCCCCAATTTTCTTGATAACAGATGTTTTGATCATGCTTGTCTCCGCTCCGGTGTCGAGGGTAAGCTGTAATGCGTGGTGTTGGTAGAACACGTTTAGTTGAGGAGATCGTTTGGTGTGGACACGTCGGCCGGTGGACGTTACTCGGTGGCTGTGGGTTGCAAGCTTGGGTAAGACAGGCTCTTCTGGCTCAGAATCAGAGGAGGCTATGTTTGGGTTGTCTGCCATTATTTGTCGAGCGCGAGTTAAATACTGGCGATCTTCTGCCGGAAGGAAAGGGCATCGACTGAGGTAATGGTGGGACTGTGCTCGATTTGCTTGTTTACATAGGGGGCATGACTTAGCTCTTGAGGTCATACCTTTAGACTTTGAGGTTGTTAAGGACTGTGCGTTTGCAGTACGAGGTTTGGGGGGTTGGCGAAATGCAGTACGTAACACCTTGGCTTCATTGGTGGTATGTATTTCATCAAGTAAAGAGTCGAGGGCTTACGATATCTCCGGTTTCAAACTGGCTAATGTTTGGGATCGAAGCTCTGTGCCATAGCGCTGTTTGACTAGCACAGGTAGGTCAGGGTGGACTAAACGTAACCATGTAATTACAATAAAATTTTCCAGGGTGGGTGTGACTTCCTCATCAGTAGTGGTATCTGCACCATGGTGACGGATAGTGTCCCTCGCTTTAAGTAAGTTATCTTCAATAAAACTTACCAGTCGTTGGTAAAGATCCTCGGGACGTTCTCCGGCTTCCAGGTGTATATTGCTGACATCGAGGAAACGTGCGCCTGTTGATTGGAAACCAAAGTGGGCGCGAATGGCTTGCCAAATAGACTGCATGGACGTGGAATTTTTAACGATAGTATTACGGGATATAACTGGACAAAAGTTAGCGATTTGCCCCAACATCAGCTCTAGATGTGTTAACTTTTGGGCAGCTGTACGACGACTGGCTTGTGGTACGTCTTCGCCGTCGTCGGTAAATCCTCGAGTTGGGTTAGTGCTAGATTTACGCTGCCATGTTGATTCTTCGAGCAGAAGGTTGGCAAAATTCGAGTCGAGTGACAAAATATATTGAAGATTCTGACGCCACGATTCGAATGAGGTAATGGTTTCTTGTTTGGTTAAGGCCCACTGTTTAGGTGCTCGATTACTTGCCATTCTAGCAGACGAGAAATTAACTTTTCACAGTCTATATAAGCTGGCGTGTCTTCACTAACTTTGAGTAGGAGTACTCTTGTTGGTCTGATATTATGAAGTTT